CCCGCCCCGTCCCGCCCCGTCCCGCCCCGTCCCGTCCGGCCGCAGTCCCCCGGGCGCCCTCCTTCCTCGTGCGCCTGCGCGCGGCCGCGGAGTCTGCGCACTGGCGCCACGTCCGCTCCCGCTGCTTTCCTTTTCTTCCTCCTTTCAAAGTCCTCAATTGCACAGTTGACGTTGGGAACCCTGGCTTGTCACCGTCCTATCAGCCATTGTGCCACTGGAGCCCCTACTCTTTCCCGGGCTTAAAGAAGTAAATAGGTAAGTGCCGAAGAGCGATGCAAAGGCATTTCCTTCCTTAGGCTGCAGGTTGTTTCCTTCACGGCCCTGCGTCTTAGCAACCTACAGGATCGGTGACTTCGTCCAGAAATGGCTCGAGAGACCTCCTAGATGCGCTCATTTTGAGTTACAAACTTTGTGGATTACATGTCTTGGAAAAGGAAAAAAAATTGAGCTGCACTAGGGAAACGAATACCAGAAGAACATCGCAAGGAGAAGTGCTCATCAGAACTAAATGAGAGTTTTAAAAAATATTTTTGATTTGTCACCTGCCATTTCTACAGATAATTATGGTTTTGAGTTTTCAACTTCAACGCACGATCTTTAAAAAATAAATAGATAAAGCTAATAATCACAAGTACCCTATTTTTACAGATTGTTTTCTCTCTTCTAGGTATAGCTTGTGTGTAGGTGGCCTAATATAATTTTTGACAGCTCTAGGAATTTGAATAGAGCCAGAATTGGGTGCCAGAGAAATCTCTGCACTAATTCTTTGTTAGTGAGGGTTTATGTATTTTGAGGCGGGTGATAAAATGGAAAGCAAAACTTGGCACAATTGTAATCAAGATCTTTTAGGCAAGCTTGAGCTAGTCTCGTTGAGTGTTAGAATTATTTCATGGCTCTTGTGGCTTTCCTTGTGAGGGGTTCTTCTGGTTTCCACCAGAGGCAGGCACCTTCTCTTTGCTTCCATTTCGGAATGTCTTCCTTGTCTGTCTCTATCCCATGTTCCTACCTTTGTTCAAGCTTAAAGTTCTTTACCCCCACCTCTTTTGTTTTTATTTTGAGAAACTTAAAAGGGAAAATCACAAAGAATGATATAGCATACATAACAGACTGACACATTAATATTTCATCCAAACAGTACAGATAGAGCTTAACACCCAGGATTAGATTCACATGAACCAGAGATTTTACCCAGCATCAAGCTTTACTAATAATTTCAAAGATACTGGTTATAGAAAGGCTTCCACAAAGCAGAGAGAGGTCTAGGAAATCTCACATGACTCTACAGGTCCTTCCTTCCTGCATCAGACACTTACCCTCTCTTACAGGCTTAATCATGCGCTTACAAAATTCATATGTTGACGTCCTAACCCCCAATTCCTCAGAATGTGACTCTATTTGGAAACACGGCCTTTAAGGAGGTAATTAATATAAAATGAGGTTATATGGGTGGGCCGTAATCCAATATGCCCAGCGTCCTTATAAAAAGAGGAGATTAAGATACAGAAAACAGACCTAGGGGCAACCATGTGAAGACACAGCAAGACCAAGTGAGGACATTTGCTATCTGCAAGACAAGGAGAGAGGCTTCAGAAGAAACCAAACCTGCCAACACCTTGATCTTGGACTTTTAGCCCTCAGAACAGTGCGAAAATAAATTTCTGTTGTTTAAGCCACTCTGTGGTATTTTGTTATGGCAGCCTTAGCAAACTAACACACCCTCCTCTGACCCATAATTATAGATGAGGTCTCTAATAAGGGTGTCAGCTTACCTAGTAGACTTCATTTTATATCCCAGAGAGTTGCTTAGCATTAAAAAGAAAAGAAAAACACTTTAGACAATGTAAATTCAACAGAGTTCAATTGAGCAAGGAACAATTTGTGAATCCAGCAGCCACCAGAACCAGAATAGGTTCAGAGCATCTCCGCTGCTGCTGTGTGGTTGATTAAGATTTACAGCCAGAAAAGGGGGAAATGCTGTACAGAAAATGGAAGTGAGGTACAGAAACAGCTGGATTGGTTACAGCTTGGCATTTGCCTTATTCGAACACAGTTCAGACAGTTAGCTGCCTGTGACTGGTTGAAGTATGGCTGCTGTGATTGTCAGCTATTTGGAAGCACACTTCTAAGTTAGGTTTTCAATTTGTTTATGTACTAAGACAGGTTGTGGTTCATATGTAAGAACTCAAGTGTGTGAGTGTGATGGCTTTCTCAGGCCAAATTTTAATTTGATTTAACAATTCCCCCATTTTGGTCAGTATCTCAATTTTGACAGACTGACCAAAACTTTGGGCATTGCTGCCACTGTGTCACCATCACAAATGACTTATTTGGTCTCAGTGTGGAATTCACAATTCATCTGTGGTCTCAGTATGAAGTTCACCAGTCTCACCATCACACCAGTTGAGCAATTCTTTATGTTATTGCTGATCTAGTGGAAGGGAGACTGTTTGATATTTGATGGATGGCTATACACAAAACATTTAAGAGAAACTGCACCAGGAGGACTATGATGACTATCTAAAGAATCAAAGTGTACTCCTAAAACAAGAGTTCTCATGAAAATGAACTGAACCAAAACAAACGAGTCAAGGTTCAGGCAATATATGCAAGTCAACAATATTTGAGTCTAATTGGTCATAGTCCTTCAGAGGATGGTAGTGATTAAAGATCGTAGTTCACTATAAAGTGGCTTGATTTCAAGAGGCATTTATTTTTGTTAGCATAGTAACACAAATCATAATAATCTGGAGACTTAGAAGAAATATAAAGATCAGAAAACCTTGGAAAATCCAAGTTTGCCATCCACTGTTTAGGATGCCTGCAAACCAACTGTTAACTGCTCCTATAAACATATCATGTGCTCCTTTCTCTTTAGAAATTTCCTTAATGTATTTGGTGGCAGTGTCTAAGGAAACAGCAGTAGCAGCCACCTTTCTAATTAAGCTTTCTGTAGTAACAAAATCAGGGGAAAGATGGGCACAACATTCAGTTTTGTTCAGTACCAAAGATAAGCCCCCAACCTGAGCAAAAAGGAGATCTATTGCTGCATGATGTTCCACTAAGTGTTTTTGTTGAATACATATATTACCACTTTAGAAGAGTGGTTTCTACCTATGTGAAACCCTGGGAAGTCTGATTGGCTACCAAATCCAAGATTTTCCCCAATTTATGGATTAGCTTTAAATTCCATGCAACTGGTACCTCACTACCACCAAGAATGAGCCCCAAGGAACTCCACTGGAATCTTTCCTCAGAAGAAATTAGCTGATCTTCATCTATTTCAAGGTTGGTGCTAATTTCAGTTGATTGTTTTGGCCTCCGATCATAGGAGCTATTATGGGCAGTTTCAGGGGAGGCTATTCAAAAGGCAGGAGCAGGCCAGGCCAAACAGCAAGATCCAAACCAGCAAGGAGGCAGAAGAGAAAAAAGAGATTTCCACAGACCCAATGTAGGCCCTCAGGAGTTGGAAAGGAGGGCCATCTAATTACATTTGAGCAAGAGTCAGTTAAATCTGTTTGTCCCTAAATATGCATAGCATCTGAACAATATCCAGTGGTAAATTTACTTTTTTAAGGCCCTTTTATAGCATACTATAAGGGCATATAACCACATTTGGGAAAAAGAAGGGACCATACTGGATTTAATCTGGTGACATTATATAAACAATTACTTGTACCCACATAGGTAATTCCAGATCTTGAGTGTGTGATGCCTGAAAGCACAATATACCTTTTGCAGGCATCACTCTGATAGGTTTCATATATTTATAACAATCAGATTATTAATTGGAAAAGTCAGAGTGTTGTTTATAATGAGTTTGGGAAAGCAAGTAGCAGTGATGTTTAGAATATCAAGGATAGCTTTTCACTCTTCCTTTAGAGTTTCAGGTTAACTCTCATTGGATATATGGAAAGGCAATGGTATCAGTGGAATTGTTTCCTGAATTTTTTTGGTATTAGCCGACAAACCCAATGATTGCTCTGGTTTTGTGCTAAAGCATAAGCTTGAGCTAAAGCCGTCCACTGGTTATGGTCCCCTGGATTTTCCTGTGGGGAATAGAAAACAAATAGGACAGCAGGAAATGAGGGGCGGGGGGGAGCATAAGCCTTTCATGATGGCAGAGAAATCTTGATCCATATTCTTGGGAAAGCTGTCCATGTGTACAATGTTGTCTGCTTCGGGGGAGAAATTTCCCTGGTCAGCTTTACCTTAAAGTCTCCAACAGGTTCAGTTCCAAAGTGCAGAAGGGCCCTTTTGAGTTGTGAGATATGAACCCAAGATTCAAGGCCCTGAAGCTTAACTGAATTGTGGGTGGTGAGAAGAACTTGATGTCTCCAGCCATGGCCTCATAAGAGGGGACCCCAGTCTGAAAAACCCCATTCCCTGTGACATTTTGGCCAGAAGGGGAAAATTCTCCTAACTAAACCGCTCCCTTCAGTAGGTTCTTCCGGAGAAGCCATCAAGGAACTTCCACCCATGGTCCTGCAGGATGCCTCCAAGGATCCCACTGACCTTCCTTCCCCCATCCCTGTTACCCCTAGGGTTCCCCCACCTTATCTGCC